AACTTTTGACTTCAGCTCTATGCTGGACTCAAGAAAAGGAACGATTTTGTGGCTTATCTATCTGGCTTTTTCTTGTTATGACGGGAACAGTGTTTTCTGTAGCTTTCTATATCCTAAGCATCAGAGTAACTCTCCCAAGGACAGGCTTAAAGAAGATTTTTCTCCTCCTCTGAACTCCCAAGATCTTTATTAGTACCAAGTAGGCACTTGTACTTTTTAACCTATATTTGTCTATCTTATTTTCCCTATTAAATGTAAGCTATATGAGGTCTCATGTTAATAGCCGTTCTACCCTCAACAGTGCCTGGAACAGTCTTACATGTAGTACAAGTACTCAGTCAGTTGTGTTGGTGGGTAAAAGGGCTTCCCCAAGAAGTGGATGGGAAAGTCCTGAAGAGGTGAATGGTTAGGAAAATGAGGTTATTGTTCTAAGTGGAGGGAGATAATAGTTGTAGCTTTCTCTCTTTTTGAATCTTTCTCTGTATGTGAGCATTTGGTATAATATCCATGTCCAGATTAGAAATCTTAATTGAATTTATAAAACATCAACAGCCAATGTCAAAGAAGACACTGCAGGAGACTGCTTTTCGGAATGCAGCTGAACCTATTGAATACACATCTCCAGACAAGTTTTGACTTGAGCCAAATACATTCTTGTGAAGCAAATTCTGCTTTTCCTATAAATATCATTAGAGAAATGCTTCCCAAAGAAAAATTCGCAGCAAGCAGATGTGAAAACTCTTGATGAGTAACGACTAAGGTAGTTAGGTGTGTGTGTGTGTGACACACATAAAATATCATAGCAGTTCTCCACCTCTAGGACTTTGTGTATGTCATTAGCTGTTGTGACCTTCCAACCCATGAGAATTTTCCTCATGCCTGAGGATTCACTTAAGCCCACACTTTCAGAACTAGAGATCTCTTTATTTTCCTCTTGGCTGGGTCAATCTGACTTTGGCTGCATGATCACACATCACTACTGGGTGCTACCATTTTTAGGTTAGAATATGTGACTTTCCTAATGTAAAAAAAAAAATCAGGTAGTCCTGTAGCTGATCATTAAGTTAAACTTTATATACAACTTTTCATAAACTGAGAAATATCTTTATTAATATGCAGCATCTGTGTCATTACTAAGTTACTATAACAACAAAGATGAAATATTGCCCAAGTTAGTCTCCCCCTGCCCCAACCTCTCCTCCCAGTTTTGTGTGAGCGTTCAATTGGGAGCTTTTTCCATGGTGATTTTCAGCTTCCTTACTTCTAGGCACATCTCTCCTCCTAATACTGACCCGCTTTGGATGATATCTGATTATTAGTTTTCCCACTGTGCTGTTTAGAGTCACGTATTTCCAAGTAAATGAACTGAGGGTCATGTAGTAGGTAAGGGCAGGATGTTTTATTACCCACACTAAATTACAGATGTTGGAAAACAAAGCTGAAAACTCTTGTGTATTTGTGTCTATATTGACATCTGAATGCTCAACCAATTATTGCTTTTTTTGGGGGGTGGGGGAGGGAGGTTAGAGATGGAGTCTCACTGTTGCCCAGGCTGGTCTTGAACTCCGGGGCTCAAGCAGTCCTCCCACTTCAGCCTTCTAAAGTGCTGGAACTATAGGCATGAGCCACCACACCCCTATTACTGCCTTCTTTAAAAATCTTTTTCAGGGGCATAGATGTTAATTAACCCATCTGGTTGTTGTGTTTTGGTAGAGAAGCTGTCAGAGGGAATGACATCAAAAAGGAAACAAGAATGTTTAATAGAACCAGGAAAAAAGCATCTGTACAATCTAAAGTACCTACGGATGGAATAATCTACAGACAAGGCCAATGTAACCGGAACAGGATATTGTAATAAAACCATCCAGTTACCATCAATTTATATCGAGGTAGGTGCTGAGCAAACTGAAGCAGTTTGTGATCCTTCTTCCAAACTAGCCACCCCTGAGACTACTACCCCATCCTTGTCACCACCTCCAACAGCTGTCTCACCAGAGTTTGCCTATGTCCCAGCTCAGTTTGCTGCTCAGATATTAGGTCAAGTTTCATCTATTCATTCTGATCAATCTGATGTTTTAATGGTGGATGTGGCAACCAGAATGCCTATTGTTATCAAGGAGGTACTGACCTCAGAGGCTGCTGAAGATGTCATGGTGGCTGCTCCTTTTGCATGTTCTGGAAAGGTGCTAAAAGTGCAGGTTGTGGGCCAAAAGTCTGTCCATGTAGATTTGGGTTATACCTAAAGAAAATGAGGCTGAGCCATCAACAGCTTCCTCAGTCTCTTTGCAGGATGAACAAGAACCTCCTGCTTATGATCAAGCTCCTGCAGTCCCTTTGCAGCCTGATAACTGGGGGTTATGTCAACTGTTTGTATATCATCTGTCTATAACAATGTGCCTGTGACTGAAGGAGTTATGAGTTACTTATATTGAGCAACTGCCAGAACAAATAGTTAACCTTTTTACTGATCAAGTTGTTTGTCTTAAAATGAGCAGTCACCACCAGTTAGTCCCAATCTGTAGAGTCTGTAAAACTTGCACAGTTGGAGGAGAATGCAAAATATTCCTAGTATAGGTGAAGGCAGAAGGAACAGCTCTGCTCTCTGACACATCTGCGAAAGGTCAGCCTGAGGCACCTACACAACCCCGGGATGCAGAGGGCACTATCAACATAGGCTCTGAGAAACCTCTGCACCTTGAAGTGGAGATCGCTTCAATAGTCTCTGACAATCCTGGGCAGGTGGAGTCTGGGGAAAACTCTGCACGCAAGGACATGGAAGGCAAAGCTGTGCTCTCTGGGGAAGCTGCAGAAGCAGTATACTCCGGTACATCTGTAAAGTCATCTAGTGGCCCCTTCCCCCTGCACCAGAAATCGAACCAGAAGGGGAAGCAACAGCTGAATAAGGTTTGATGAAGCCAGGTAAGACAATCGGATATTCCCATTACAAATTGCATTTCATGTGACATCTGTATTTCAGGTAGCCATCTATGTAGGCTCCCTGCAGACTGGTCCGTCTTTATTTTCAATGTTTTTTAAATGCCAATGCTATTTAAAGGCTTTGTTGTATTTGAGATTCTACTACAATGAGAGGAATTATTTTAAAGTGATGTCCCCAAAGCCTGGCCTCAAAGTTTGGTCATCTAGCACTTTAGTGTTATTCTTTTGGACATATCATATAATCAACAACATTATAGCCTGTTGTCAGGTACAAAATATATTCATGTAATCTGAATATGCTGATTGCAAAACTCTAATTAAGGGGTGTTGGTTTGAAATTTTCCTCTTGTGAATCTAAAGTTAAACTACAGCAGTGCATTTACATAGGCTATGACATTTTAAAAAGTGAAAAAATGGTAGTGTGACCGCTTTTGCACTGAGTCAGGAGAGCTCTGTAACCAGGTTTGGGGTGCTGGGCCATGTGTTTGTTTTCTGCCCATTCCTTTTGCAGAAATTCTCTCAACCCTGACTCTTAACCAAGCTAGAATGATTCAAAAAGTGTTAGCAAAGCAGGTGTTCAGAAAAGATCACATTTTGTCTGGCAGTGTGACAGAGATTCTGCACAGCAGGAAAGGCAGAGGACAGCTCTGGGAGTGGAGCGTGTGAGACTGGTGCAACTTACCATTATGCACGCCAGGTAACTGGTTATGGCCCTGGCGGCTTTGGTACCACTAGGACTTCTTTCTTTGAAAGGACATTTTAAATACTTCAGAATAGTATCAAGTGGCAAAATTAGTATATTTGAAATTTTAAAAGAAACCACACTTTTGGGGAACTTTATAAAACCTTTATTTAGCATCACGTAGATTATATCATTTGTTAACTTCAAGACAGCAATTAAAATCATGTACTGGCAGCTACCTAAGGCCCCTGGGAGCAATATGTCTGTCTGGGGTTTGGGTGGATAAATACTATAAAATTAATGTACCCCAATTAAAGGGGTAAAGCTACTGTACAAGTCTCCACACATATTTTAAGTACACAGGTGCCTTGCAAACTTGAAATGCAGAAGATATCCTTTTATATAATTTGGTGCTTACATAAATGAGCGCAACTTAATTTCTCTCGTGGTATTTGCCACTGGAAGTGGAAGCATTGAACAAGGTTTGTCATTATGCAATGGTCGTTAAAATCTATTTCTAGGGCATTTTTGTGACTTGCTAGATTTTATACATATTTTCAGTTCAAATGTAAACAAACATTTTCATGATACTGACTGCAGAAAAGTAAATTCAGAACACTAAGTAAACGAAATACTTTACTAGTTTAATTCTCTAGAATTTTCAAATCAGAAAAACCTATTCTGAATATTCAGGCTTTTTTCTTGTTGGCAGTTGGAAGAGGTAAAATTGGGAAGATTAGTGTGAATGAAAGCCATCTTATCAATGGAGTCTTCACAAAAACCTGTACATTAGACTTCTACATTTGAGCACATAAACATTGTATAGGAGGAGAGTTCTAAATATGTCAAAGGTTACAGCTAAAACATTCAAGCATGACACCATAAAAATATTCCCCAGCAGTTTTACCTCTATATAAAATAGTATTCCAAATAAGTACATTTTGTAGCAATTTTTTTTCCTAAGAGTTTCATTACCAGTATCAGCTTACACCCTACTTTTTGTTGGGTGAAATGCGGTGATCTCATGAGTGTTTTTTCTTTTTTTAAATATAACTAGAGGCTGGGTACAGTGGTTTATGCCTGTAATCCCAGCACTGAATGTCAGAGGGTGAGGCAGGTGGATCACGAGGTCAGGATATCGAGACCACTCTGGCCAACATGGTGAAACCCCATCTCTACTAAAACTACAAAAAGTAGCTGGGCATGGCAGCACATGCCTGTAGTCCCAGCTACGTGGGAGGCTGAAGCAGGAGAATTGCTTTAACCCAGGAGGTGGAGGTTGTAGTGAGCAGAGATTGCACCACTGCACTCCAGCCTGGGCGACAGAGCAAAACTCCGTCTCAAAACAAAGTAGAAACCAAGGGAAAAAATTTAAAAACATAGGTTTAAGACTTGCTTAGAGATTAGCCAAACACCCTGACCTGTATGCACTTTACTAAATGGCAGACAAATTGAAGTACTTTCTGTCCCAGTAGCTGCCAGAGTAAATCCAATCCTGTGCTCCATTGCAGGGATTAGGACCTTGATGGAACCACCTGTTAAAAAGGACAAGACAAAATCACACGCTGTTTGTTCACTAGCTTGCAGTATTTTTCTATTGCATCAATTGATTCTGTGAGTGAGATTTCCAAAGAGATGCTGAAGTGTGCTGTTTTTTTGCTTAGGGAACAGGTCTGTAGAATAATATTCCAAAAGGGGTGAAAGGATACGGATTTCCCATCAGCATCTAGCAAGCTCCTAGACAGAAGCAGGGTCTTATAATAGTATCCTCTAGCCAGGCTCTTGTTTTCCACAACAAGGCATTCTTTTAAATAGTAAGGAATAAATTAGGATAAGGAAATTAACATTTACAGCATACCTACAGCAGTATGTAAGGGATCTGGTTCAGAGTAAATGCCCCTCAAACTCTTAAAGCTCCATTTTACACATGAGAAGCTGAATGTCTAAGCAGTTAAATAACTTGCCCAACCTAGTAACTGACGGCAAATTTTAGGTTTAATGTTTAAGACCGTGATTTTTCTAATATACCATGATACACATAATCCAAAAGACATGAATAGACATTTCTCAAAATAAGACATAGAAATAGCCAACAGGATATGAGAAAATCTCAACACCAGTAATTATGAGGGAAATATGAATAAAAACCACAAGATACCATCCTGTACCAGTTAGAATGGCTATTATTAAAAAGAAAAAATAATATGCTGGCAAGGATGCAGAAAAAAGCAAGCTCATATACTGGTGGTGAGAATAAATTACAACAGCCATTATGGAAGACAGTATGGAGATTTCTTAAAAAACTTAACTACCAGACAATCTGGCACTCCCACTACTGAGTATCCAAAGGAAAGGAAGTCAGTGTATCAAAGGGATACCTGCATCCCCATGTTTATGACAGCATGATTCACAATAACAAAGACATGGAATCAACCTGTGTCCATCAATGGATGAAAGTCAGTGGAAGTAAGTTTTTTTCCAGGCCTGGAATAACTGCAGGGTTTGTGTTAGATAGGCCCTTACTCTGGGGTCACAGTGTCTGGCATCCCTACCTCGTCAGCATACAGTAGCCTGCCTAAGGGCTCAACCATGTACCTTGTCTTCCAGTCCTCTTCTGACTTGGACCTGTTTTTGCAGGCTGCTCTTTGTTTTTCCTCCACTATGTTGATCTAAAATAAGAACATCAATACAAACCATTAACACTATGCAGAGGATGCCAGGCACAGTATTAAGCACAATAACTTCGCAAGACAACCATCTACATGTATCAGCATCATCTCCCTTTTGTCAGAACACAAATACCAGAGTCAAATATCAAGCAAAAATTATAACAGATACCCGGTCTAGTAAGAGGCCGAGCTGGTATTGCAGATGCGGCATCTCTTTGACAGCCTATGCTCTCAACAACCTTGCCTTTACCAAAAACAACCTACTTATTCTTAAGGCCAAAACAACTGTGTTAAAATCCTTCAGTGAAAAATTGGTTTAAGAACTAAATAAATATGAAATTGTTCTAAATTCTTAGACCTCCTAGCACTCTTTCAGATTCCATTCTTAAGAAATTTAAACAGTTTTTTAAAACACTGTTGCTCTGTCTCACTTTTTGTCCACTGTGGCACTATGACATGTTGGCTGTGATGACATCATAAGAGGAGAGGATGTTGAGCTACATCCCTGGCTTGCAGATGCCAGTAGTCTCTCCCAAGAAGTGACAACCAAAGTCTTCAGACTTTGCTACATGTCTCTTTGTTGGGGGAAATGCCCCCCTTTTGAGAACCACTTAGTTGGAAGAAATTTAACACTGTACGATCAAAATGGGCTGGGTGCAGTGGCTTATGCCTGTAATCCCACCATTTTCGGAGGCTGAGATGGGTGGATCACCTGAGGTCAGTAGGTCCAAGACCAGCCTGGCCAACCTGGTGAAACCCCATTTCTGCTAAGAATACAAAAATTACTCGGGAGGTGGTGGCTGGTACCTGTAGTCCCCGTTAGGAGGCTGAGGTACGAGAATAGCTTGAACCCAGGAGGCAAAGGTTGCAGTGAGCTGTGATTGTGCCACTGCAACCTCTGCCAGCCTGGGAGACAGAGTGAGACTCTGTATCAAAAAAGAATGTTCTAACTGATACCTCATTTATCCTGATGTGATTATTACATATTGTATACCTCTATCAAAAATATCCCACATACTCCTTAAGTATATGCACCTACTTAAACCCATACACAAAAACATTTAAGTTATAATTAATCAAGGGGAGGCCACACTGAGGATGACAAGGTGCTAGGTAAGTTCTGAAATAGACAGTGACATAATTAAAATATGCCTCTGGCCATCTCCAGTATATTAAATTCTCAGGGGAATATTATTGCAACAATATGAGCTAATAATGTCTGCTCAGATTTTTAAAGTTACTGAATTTGAATGTTAATTCAAACTTAATCTCTAAGACTAAAAATGCTGGTACCCCATTGATTCTAACAATCACCAGTAATAACAAAGCATCCTTCCCCAACAAATGAGTCTTAACTGGTAGCTTTGGTGGATGTTAGTTACCTATCTCTCCATTTTCCGTGGCTCCGATGTCAGGCCATAACCTGCAGTCTGTCTTGGGAATCACTCTCCCTGTCTTTGTCTACTTCATTCAAAACCATTGCAAAACGAGTAAAATTATACATCTGAAAAGCAGCAAAAGGCATAATGCAAAATGGAAAGCCCCATAAGTAGAAGAGGGCTGATTTGACAATGACCCCCTCCTTTTTGTGGTAACAGTGGTCAGTCTTTCTCAGTTCATACATATCTAAATATTTTCACCAAAATCTGCACCCTCTGTGGGTATCTGTCTCAAAAAAAATCTCAAAGCAAGCTTTGCAGAATAAGTATCCTCTATCATGATCCACTTTAATCAGAACTCTAAGCAAAAACCAACATTCTTTTATATTCATTAACTCTTTCCTTGCTGGGTCTGGAGGACTGGTCCTGACTAGGTTGCACCAGCTTATATTTAACAAGGACCAATTTTATGGCTGGTTATTTAAGAAGCCCCACTGAACTCCTACACAACACATCCTCCCAGCTAGATGCCAGAGGGATGGAGAGCATGATGCACTCATAATGCCCTGAGCTCACGCAAGAAGGAAGCACCTGGGAACCAGTGGGGACTCAGAATGCCAACCTGCCTGTCTCCATGCTGCCTGGGCTGGCCCTGCACATGCCAGGAAAGACCATCACAATGCCTAACACAGACAGTGAGCCCACAGGCAGCAAGCCCCATCTCACCTGGGCAGAATTTTGAGGCGATGGGGCTATCTGCCACAGTGAAGAGGGAGAAGAAAATAACATAATTAAAGAAAAATTGCCGGAAAGAGAAGCAGAAATTTTCTTTTATAAGCAACCTTCCCTGAGTCCTTCCCCCTCCCATAGAATTGCATCCTGCTTTGCAAGTTTTTTAAGTTTACAAATTCTTGTATTCTAGTTCCCTAGAGCTGATAACTAAGTTTCTGTAATATCGTGAAGGTCATTAAGAATGCCCAAGCAGGCTGTACTCCCACCTTCTCAGCATTGTAACAGAAGGCAATAGATAAGGCCCATGCTAGAATCCTTGAGCTCTACAGATAGCAAACATCTGGGTTGCATAGCAACAGTCATATATATGTAAGCCCAAGTTAGGTGCCTCATGTTGCTTGATAAATGGCCTTTGTTTTACATTTGCAAACACGTTTGAGTGCCACTATGTACTTCAAGTATAAAAAGTCAAGCCCTGTCTTTGTTAAGATCTCAGCCCTTTTGGATCCAAATCCAAGCTGGGCCAGTGTACACCTAAAATAAACTCCTTCTGCAACCTCAATGGTCTCTCCAGTCTCTAAAATTCTGCAACACTTCTGGGACTCATCCAGGATCGAAGACAATAGGCTTGCTGTCTCCTTTGCCTTTGCAGGGCCAGGGCCCCGGGCCAAGGGATACCTGAGACCCCAGGCACCACCAGGAGGCCTCTCCCAAGAAGAAGATTGGCTCTCTTGAGCCCTGGTGCCCTCCCCCAGACAGCACAATGGAATTGGGAAAAGGCTACAGGACAACTCCAGGATCAGAGCGCTTCAAGAACCACAGTAAGACATTTGAGGCTTGAAGAAGGGGAAGGAAAAAGGGAATGGAAGTCCACAGCTCCAGTCACCTTCTGGGGATGTAACTAACCTGACCTAGCAGTGCTAGGGGAAGCAAGAGTGGCTAGCTGATTCAAGTGAAACTCACCTAACTAGAACCTGATCAGTTCCAAGGAAGTGATTACTAATCCAAACCAGTAGGGCTAGGGAAAGCGAGAGTGACTCGCCAATTCAAAGGAAAATCACATACCCATCAACACTGGAAGCAAGAGTGGCTTGCTAGGCCAACTTAGTAAGGAAGCCAAGTAGCAGGAGTGGAAAACTGGGAAGGGGGGGTGTTTGGGTGTTTGAAAGTAAAAGAAAGAGACGGCTCCAGGAGGAGCCAAAATGGGGAGTGACGTGTGAGAGCTGCAAGTCCCTTAGTGTGGCCTGTACGCTCCAAGTGAGTGGGGCCAGCTGCAGTCAGGGGCAATCCTGCGTATGGCTAACAGGAGCTGCCCTACAACTGCAGCAGTTGTAGGGGAATAAGGTACTCTCCTAGCTAGAACGGCATCTGAAATACCCCCTCCTACTCAAATCAGGGTGATGGCTTAACTCGTCTGAAGTAAAAGGTGTCAAAACCTACACCATTGGAATTCATGTTAAGGAACTTTAAGAAGGGTTTTGGAGGAGATTATGGTGTCAAACTGACTTCTCAGAGGTTAAGAACTCTGTATAAACAAGACTGGCCTTCTTTCAGTGTCACGTGGCCCGCTAAAGGGACAATAGCTTGTGAGGTGGCTGGCTGTGTGTATAGAGTAGTAACTGGGATCAGAGAACAACCTAGACCTCCTGATCAATACCAATACATTAACTCCTGGCTAAATGTGGTCCAATTAAATCCCAAGTGGCTGCAGCCCTGCCAGGCAGTATACTATAAAACTTTAGTTGCTGGAGCAGAGCCAAAGGTAGCAAAGGGAAACCACAGTGCTCCTCACCCACAGAGTAGGGGAGGGAGTGCTGATAAAACAAAAACCCATCCTACAGGCCCCTCCAGAGGAGAGAGAATGCCCACCCACCTATGTGTCAATACATCCATCCTTGGCTAACCTAAGGCAAGGTGATAGGGGAAGCACCTGGAGAATCAGATTCAGACAGAAGTGACATTCCAATGTCATCCCTTAGCAAGGAATGAAAAGGCATGTCCATGGAAGTCAGGGAAAAGGAAAGGGACAATTCCCCTAGTCAGCTCCAGTTTGGCTGCACCCAAGCTTTACAAGCGTCTCTCCTGGAGACTAGGTCCCAAATTTACCATGACATTGAGGGCCAAGTCAGATGGGGAGAAAGGCTCTTTACTCACGAGCCCTTCTCCACCACTGACCTCCTAAATTGGAAACAACATACTCCCTCTTACATGGAGAAATCCCCAAGTCATCACAGATTTAATACAATCCATTTTCTTAACCCACAACCCCACATGGGCAGACTACCAGGAGCTCCTGTTAACACTGCTTAATACAGAGAAGTGGCATAGAGTAATCCAGGCAACTCTCCAGTATCTGGAGAGAAATGCCCCAGCAGGTACAGTTGATGTCTGCCAATATGCGGAGGAACACTATCCATTGATCCCTAATGGGACCCCAATGAGGCAGAGGGGTAACAATCCCTGTAAGCATTTCGGGAGCCACTTCTAAATGGAATCAAGGCAGAAGGGAAGAAGGCCCTGAATATGGGGAAAATTTAAGAGGTCCGTCAGAAGGCAGATAAGAGCCCCAATGAGTGTTATGAGAGGCTGTGTGAGGCATATCAACTCTACATCCCATTGGACCCATAAGTGGCAGGAAATCATTATATGGTGAACACAGCCTTTGTTAGTCAGGCACAGAGTGGTATCAGCAGGAAACTCCAAAAGCTAGAAGGGTCTAAAGGCATGAATGCCACTCAGCTCACACAGGCGGCCCACAAAGTGTTCATTAACTGTGAGGAGGCGGCCAAATGGGAGCCCAAAAGAGAAGCGGATCAGAAGCTTGAAAGGAAAGCAGATATGCTGGCCACAGCTCTCACAGAAAGCGGGGCAAATGCAGCAAGAAGACATGG